ATCCCAGCAAGACACCAGGGAGTAAAAAAGAACTGTTGTTGATCTCTTCTACCGCAAAAATCAAGGACTGTGAAAATTGTAAGGCTCTGACATCAAGGCTGGATTGGGGAAAAAGAAAAGAAAATAAACACATATATGCATATACTTTTTAAGGATGACAAATAGAGGCTACTGTGAAATATAACTGTGTAAAATAATACTAATGTTCATTCAATGTCAGAAAATTTTAGTTTGCCTTGCTGCTTACCTCATGCAATTCAGTGGTGATGGTTTGACTATATAAGACACTTCTATGATTTCCCAAGTCCTGTGAAAGGGGAAAATCCCTCCAACTATGATATCACCATCCTTAGAAAGTAGTGGATAAACAGGCTCTCCTTGCAGGTTACATACAGTCCCATTTGTGCTGGAAAAATTGATTATGGCCATTAAGACATGCAAGAGAGTAAAGATAGAATCCATCCACCTATTTAACTGTTGAGTATATACAAGGTCTGGTGTTTCAATTGGTTGAACATGAAGCGTTTGTAGTATTTATACAGATAGAAATGCAAATCCTCTACGGTAATGTTAGCCTGCTGGGCCGCAGTTAAAGGAGGTGTGACTTTCAGATGTGAGCAGCAGTAATCTGAGAGAAGTAGACCTTGTTATCTCTTTTGTCTGTATGTTTTTTACTATTTCTTTACTAATTTTTAGAGGCTTGTTTGTGTAGTTTTGTTAAAATGTTTAGATTTTTCTTCATGTTCATCCTTTTCAGTGTTGATGATAAATCTGTAGTTATATTTATTATTATGTCATACTTATTTTTACATCAGTAATTTTGAGTTAAATGTCCAAATTTCCAAACAATCCTTCTTAAAGGATAATAAATGAATAGGTAAATAATAGGTAAAGAAAAAAAATAGGTAAAGAATAGGTAAAAACCTTTTTGCTAAACTGCTTAAATCAAATGAATATCTTTTAGGGATATATACAATGAAAATTTAATCATTTATGATTATGTAATGGAGTTTAGCTGTATTACTTCATTAAGCAGTGTGCTTTTTAAAGGCTGTATTTGACAATATACACCAATCAGGCATAACATTATGACCTCCTCCTTGTTTCCACGCTCATTATCCATTTTATCAGCTCCACTTACTATATAGGTGCACTTTGTAGTTCTACAGGTACAGACTGTAGTCCATCTGTTTCTCTGCATACTTTGAGTGGATCAGACACAGCAGTGCTGCTCAAGTTTTCAAGCACCTCACTGTCACTGCTGAACTGAGAATAGTCCACCAACCAAAAATATCCAGCCGACTGCGTCCTGTGGGCAGTATCCGTGACCACTGATGTGGGAGTAGAGGATGACCAACTGTGCAGCATCTGATTAGCTATCATCTCTGACTTTACATCTACAAGATGGACTGACAAGATAGGAGTGTCTAATAGAGTGGACAGTGAGTGTACACAGTGTTTAAAAACTCCAGCAGCACTGCTGTGTCTAATTCACTCGTACCAGCACAACACACACTAACACACCACCACCACATCAGCGTTACTTCAGTGCTGAGAATGATCCACCACCCAAATAGTACTTGCTCTGTGAGGGTCCATGGGGGTCCTAACCACTGAAGAACAGGGTAAAAGGGGGCTAACAAAGCAAGCAGAGAAACCGATGGACTACATTCTGTTATTGTAGAACTACAATGTGCCCCTATATAGTAAGTGGAACTGATAAAATGGACAATGAGCGTAGAAACAAGGTCATAATGTTATGCCTGATTGGTGTATATCTCTGAAAAGGCCTGACTTTGCATACCAGCTCTTATTTAGTCCGCTTCTCCACACCAACTTCTGGCTTGCCTGGCATTGCAACTTATACACTTAACGACCAGCTATAAAATATAGTATCTTTATTGAACATGGATTAAGTAGTCAAGGTCATTGACTGAAAAGTATGAGAACCTCTAGTATATATATTTCCGTAAAAGATTGATTGAAGTCTTGGTTACCGATTCTGGCAGTCAGTCGTCACAGAAGACTTTGCGATCTAAGAATGCAGAGAGTCAGTTTAAAGAAGAAGAAAGTGGAAAAACAAATAACTCGTTGTGTGAATTAGTGATTGATTCCAGGTTCTTGCTGGAATTACTGAAATTGTCAACTCTAGTATGTAACCAGCCAAATGCTTGGGTTACTTCTACTGCCTCTAACGCACACTTGTGTCAGATACTGTCCTGTCCAGTGAGGTTTTGCCTGTTCAGGATTGCTCCAGATAGTCGTATAAAATATTACTACTGTATTATTTAAAGCAGCACTATATACTTGAAAATGTAAATGAGCAACATTACTGAGACAGGAGGGGAAAACCATGCTAAAATCTGGTGCTCATTTGCTCATGCAAGATCTCCTTTAATCAGAGGTGGCAGAAGTACAAAAGTCCTTTACTTAAGTAAAAGTCATCTGTAATTCATTTTTTTCAAAACTGGGTGTTTATTTCAGCAGTAAATATTGAACACTAGATCAAATCATTTTTTAAATAAGGCCAGGAACAGAGTGGGAGGAGTAGGAGTTACACACATAAAACGTGCTCATGTCCTGCAGTGTCATTACATCAGGCTATGGGCTGTTCTAGCCGCCATGCAGTCATCACTCTACATATTCCAACATATTTCCCCTGATACAAAACAATAGCAACCAATCAGAAAGCTGGATCACTCTTACTATAAAGCATGCTCACCACAGACACAACTTCTGCCTAGAGAAGATGGCAAAACAGGGCTAAAATCAAACAATTGAGACATACAAAGTTAAACCTACAAAGTTAAAGATGTACAAACTTAAAACCTAATAATTATCGAAGCCAAAAACACAGGTTACTGCCGCATTGGGAAGATCTAAATGAAGACAACATGAAAGTGAAATCAAACAGCTGATGTGCCAAGACGAGGAAAAACAACAGCAATCTGAAAAACCAAAATCCAATTATTGTAGGCAAGAAGCATATTGCCATGGCAGGCATGAAACATGTTTGTTGTCTGTTTATGTCTTACCTGTAGTGACTCCATGTGAACGTCCCTAAAGGCGTTGCAATCAATCCACTACATCATTTAAGGTGGAACGGGAAGTGAAGCTAACTTCAGCTTCATCTAGTCTCTATCTACTGTTAAAGTCTCAATTACAGTCCCAGGGCTGTATCACTTCAGACAGGGGCTGCCTACATTACTACAGATATACATTTGGATGTAACATTTACAGTTTGAGTGTTCTTGTGCTGTGAGTTTATTCATTAATTTGCAGTACCCAACCCCAAACTCTACCAGCCCACTGGGAATTCTCATGACTATCCTGAGAAAGGCCATAAATGCAGGTTTTATTCAGACTCGACATCCGTATTAAGCGGTGATTCAGTGCTGTCACTTTCTATGGATTCAATTTTTTCATCTGTTCATTTTTCTTCCTTTTCTGGCCTGCTCACTGCTTTGGTCTGTAAGCCATGAAAGGAGCTAATCACAGGTTCACTCCGCTTCCCCCTCCCCTGTTTCACATCCAGTAGGATGCTGATTTGCGCTTCATTGGATGCCTCAATACAATTGCTTGATTTAAAATACATACATAAATAGATTGAGAGATAACATAAATAAATTAGTATATTATTACAACGAAAGTAACCAGCCTATTTTATAAATGTAGTGAGTAAAAAGTACAGCATTTTCTTTTGAAATGTAGTGAGTAAAAGTAAAAAGTATTAAGTGACAAAAATACTCAAGCACAGATAGTAAAAAAGTAAAACTACCTAAAAAAAAATGGCTTGGCCATTAATGGCTGAAGTAGCCATTAAAATGGCAGAGGTGTCAGATCAGATTTTGTGGCACTTTTTAAAAGCCATCACACATCTTTACATTTTAACGTTATTTGCACCGGCTCAAAAAGTAGTTCAGTGTTTAGCTCCCAAATGCAAAATCAACATTAGATACTTAAAGATATGATAGCAGTTCCACAGTTCCAGAATTCTCTAAAACCCCAAATCTTATATAGTGCAACTTTTAAAATGGCCACTTCAGACACCAGTATAATTATGTAACACTTTGGAAGAAAGATACAGAATAACAAGCCAAAGCTTGAGGCCAAAATAGCAAATATCTCCACAGCTACAATGAACTTTCCAGGAGAGCTGACATAAGCTGGAATGAAGGTGATCCAAACCGCACAGAATATGAGCATGCTGAATGTGATGAACTTGGCCTCATTAAAGTTATCAGGCAGCTTCTTGGTGTAGGCAATGGACAACAGCACATACTCTTTTATACACATTACTGAAATTGGGCATCAGGATCATGTCTGTCTTTTTTATTTCGTAAATAAAGGGCTCATGTTCACACAGGCAGTGAAGATAGAGTAACACGAGAGACAAAGTAGTGATGAAAATAACTTCATTTTTTGTTAAACACTCGCACTGTTATCTTTATAATTTGCTTAAAAAAAAAAGAAAAGTCAATTAAATTAGAAACCAGTGCAAAATAGTTTCATTATCATTATAAGTCTCAGACCTTTGGATCCCACTCAGTACAATTAGCGAAATATACAAATGTAGACATGGAATTCATGGTATAAAAGCACATGCAGGGATTTGTAAGGGGAAATAATCCTCAAAGAAAACATTTTTTCCACTTTTCTTCAGATTCACTACTATTTCCGTTAGCAACATTACGTATAAAAACTCAGAAGACGCTGCTAGATTCAGTTCATTCAGATTTTTTAAAATGCAAATGAAATGTCTGATTCGCGTTTGCAGACATTGTGAACCCTGGTTCCTAGCATCATCATTATAAAACATTTATGAGTTTCTCTGCTTGGTGTTGTTTCCAACTCAAATATTGAATTATGCTATTTTTTTTAATAACTGGTGTTGTTTTTAAAATTTTAAACTAATGAGTTTTAAAATGATAGCATATCAAGATTACTGTTGCAATGTTCATATGCCTAATATGAAGCCATATTAATAGTAAACATGCTGCTCACTTAACTGGCACTTTACCCATAATTTGCTTTTTAGTGTTATTTTCTGGTTTTAGTATAATTATGTAACACTTTGGAAGAAAGATACAGAATAACAAACCGAAACTTGAGGCCAGAATAGCAAATATCTCCACAGCTACTGTGAACTTTCCAGGAGAGCTGACATAAGCTGGGATGAAAGTGATCCACACTGCACAGAATATGAGCATGCTGAATGTGATGAACTTGGCTTCATTAAAGTTATCAGGCAGCTTCCGTGCTAGAAAAGCCAAAATAAAACACAAAAGAGCCAAAAATCCTATATAACCCAGCACAGCCCAGAAACCTATAGCTGAACCTAATCCACATTCAAGAATGATCCTTTCTTTGTAAAGCTTTATATTTTTGAAGGGGAAAGGAGGAGATGTTGTTAACCAAAGAACACAAATTATGACCTGTATGAGAGTGAAAGCAAGAACACTGAGTCTCTGCTGTAGAGGACCAAACCATTTCATGACATTACTGCCTGGAAGTGTAGCTCTGAAGGCCATTAACACCACTATTGTTTTCCCCAGAACACAGGAGATGCAGAGGACGAAGGTGATTCCAAACGCTGTGTGACGCAGCACACAGGACCACTCAGAGGGCCGACCAATGAAAGTAAGTGAACAGAGGAAACACAGAGCCAGTGAGAAGAGCAACAAGAAACTCAGCTCTGAATTGTTGGCTTTGACTATTGGGGTATTTTTATGTTTGAAGAATATAATTGCTATTATTATTGTCATAAATGTACCAGTAATTGAAACAGCTGTTAGCAAAATTCCCATAGTTTCCTTATACGACAAGAATTCAATTTCCTTCTTTACACATTCATTCCTGTGTGTATTTGACCAGTAGTCCTGGTAGCATTTTTCACATTTTATCGAGTCTGTCAGAGAGAAATAAATAACATGAATAACAAAACAGTTGGATTTACAGGAAAAGTAAATGAAGCATTACATGTACTATGTAGACATTATCTTCTTTCAAAAACAGGTTAGACTTAGCATATTTTGCAGTAATGCCAACTATACTTTGTTTGTTTCAGCTTTTGTGAATGTTTGTACCTGTCATATTACTGATCTCTCCTTCAGCACATGGTATACAGTCAAAGCAGCAGATAGGCTTTCCTTTCTGCACAGCCTTCCTGGTTCCTGGAGGGCAGCTCTCACTGCACACAGACACTGGCACCTATGATCAAAATAAATGTTTCGATAAACTTTAAAAACATTTAATTTTACTAATTATGCAAAGTTTATATGAATTACGCATGCTTCATTGGGACCAAAGTACAATTCTATCTGTGCACCTGTACCTGATTTTTATTTTGTGCCCACACAATAGAGGCCATTTTTACAGCTAATCGATTTTGAGCAGGGAAAGAAGAGTCATAAAGTCCTACAGTGACAAACTCATGGTGATCTTCAATAGTTTGCCAGTTTATTATTTCGTATTTAGCCACAGGGTCACCATTTTTGTCAAAATAAACCTCTTCGCCTTCTTTGGTTTTGAAGCGCACCCTTTTCAGATGTTCTAGAAACTGGACATAACAGGAAAAAAAAGTGTAAATTACAACTTGTGAAGGAGCTTAACACTGACTCCATAAAAGTGCAGCATTTTAGCTGATTTTTTTGAATAAGTACTACACACATGAGCTGTGAAACATTTAGTTAAAGATCTGTTCTTCAACAAACTGTTTACTTACAGTGAGAGCGTCAGGCTGCTTCTTTGTAGGACATGTCTGCGTGCAGCCAAGAAGGTTGTGTAGGGTATGGGCAACAGCATATACTCCTTTATACACATTACTGAAAATGGGCATCAGAGTCATGTCTGTGAATTCGCTTTCCATTTCAGAAAATTCCTCCTGTCCTGTGCACACTGTCGTATGTTCTGATTCATTGCGCACTTTATATTTGCACTTAAACAAAGCCTCCCATAATTCAGTAAAAATGGCACTGCCTGCAGATTTCAGTGGATTTATATCCAGAATAAATTCCTTTAGACCCGTCACTGTTGTTTTGGGTATAGTTAACCCTATGGCTCCTTGCAGTATTTTGTGCTTATCCAGTCTGGCTATATTTGAATCAGAGATCCAAGCTTCACTTCCGACCCACTGATATCCAGTAATGTTGTGCTCATAAAATGCATTCAGCAGAATTTCCAAGTCCCAATGAGTTGCAAATGCTACAATAACTCGAGAAGTAGAGCTTTTGATCTGCTGAATTATTCTCAGCACTTTTTCCTGTGAGTAGGTTCTAAAGAATGGAAGGGAATATTCTAAACAAACACCCAACTTTTCTGCAGCTTCAGTAAATACAGCCATCCCACTGTTACCATAATCATCATCTCTTCTTATTGCACCCACCCAGGTCCAGCCAAACTGTTTGACCATCTCTGCCAGTGCTCTGCTCTGGTAATAATCACTGGGAATAGTGCGCAAAAATGATGGATATATTCTTTTGTCACTGAGACACTCACAGGTGGAATATGGACTAATCTAAAAACAGATTCACACACATATGTAAGGGATTATGTTCAATCATTTTTTTTGCCAGATATTAACTGCATTTAACATTAAAGGTAAGTTCTAAAATGATTTACTAGGTTTTAATGGTTACAATTTTTTGTAGTTATAATTTCGAAAGAAAAAAAAAATACTTACTAAGGGAATGCTGAAAGGTCCGACACTCTTTGCAATGGCCATTGATACTGATGACTGTGTCTCGCCAATTATGGCTTGCACCTGTGTTGGCTTTGTGCAGGGCTCATTCAAGGTTGAGTTCTCATTTCCATTAAGAAGTACCATAGCCATTCTCGCCCCCATAGCTGCGGAAGTACATGTGTCATAGATCTTATAGCCCAGTGAGACACCAGGGAGTAAAGAGGAACTGTTGTTGATCTCCTCTACTGCAAAGATTAAGGACTGTGATAGCTGGAAGTCTCTGAAATCAAGACTAATTTGAGACAAAACAGAAATACACACACAGAGTTTTATTACTACTGTGTAATGTAACTCTTTGAAATCATAGATATCCATTCAATATTTGAAAATCTCAATTTGTCTTACTGCTTACCTCATGCACTTAAGTGGTGATGGCTTGACCATATAGGACACATCTGTGATTTCCCAAGTCCTGTGAAAGGGGAAAATCCCTCCAACTATGATATCACCATCTTTAGAAAGTTGTGGGGATACAGTCTCTCCTTGCAGGTTACAGAAGTTCCCATTTGTGCTGGAAAAATTAACCATAGCCATCACCACATGCAAGAGAGTAAAGATAGACTCCATCCACCTATTTAACTGTTGAGTAGAAAGAATAATTGAGTATGTACAAGGTCTGATGTTTCAAGTGGGTTGGACAGAAGGATTTGTGATATTTATATAGATAGAAATACAAATCCCCCACGGTAATGTTAGGGCCACAATCAAAGGAGGTGTGTGAGCAGCTCTCCGTCTCTTTTTTACCTGTTTGTTCATTTTGCATTTTTCTGGTGTTTTTTTGTTTTGGTTTTTTTGTGCATATTTATTTAACACTTCCATTTTTTTTTCTTTTTGTGCATGTTCATTATTTTATATTATTGCATTTCTTTTTTTTTATGTCATAGATTTTTAGTTAAATATCCAAATGTCCTTTGAATCCCTTTTAAATGAAATTGTTGTGCGTTCTTTAAACACAGTGCTGGAGGCACTGACCTCACCTACCAGCTCTAATGCGGCCTGCTCCTACGCAGCATATAATGGCCTGTTAAGCATGAAAAATTAAAATTTTCATCACCAGCAGCCTATATTAAATATTATATCTTTATTGAACATAGATTAAACAGTCAGTGTAATTGACTGAAAAGTATGTTCAATGCTAGAATTTGTATCTCTTGAAAAAGGTAATTCACGTCTCTATTTCCAGCTTTGGCTATCAGTCATCACTGAAGACTTTGCCATCTAAGGATGCATAAAGTCAGTTTCCAGGTTCTTGCTGTTTTAATGGAATATTCTCTTGAAAGCTCTAATATGTAACCAGCCATATGCTTTAGTTACCTCTGCGTCCTATGCAGCATCAGTTGCCTTTTGTGCTAATCTGTTTTACCGAACGCACATCTGTTCTATCCACTGAGTCTGTGTCTGATCAAGAATGCTGTATAGCTCTATTTTTTTTTCCTTTGTGTCCATTATGTTATTTAAAGCTGTACTACGTAAGATTTAATGTTTAAATCGAAAGAAGTAGCATTACTGAGTCGGAAGGTAACAAAGCTCACTAAAATCTGGTGTCTGCTCCCCATTCTTTTATTTAGATTATTAATGTAATACAATTAAAATGTTTCACTTCCTTGTGCTTTATCATTAAAGGTACAACTGTCAGTCCTAATATCATCTCCTTCCAATACGTGTGATTATAGTCTATAATTTAAAACTCTACTATGTTGAATTTTATCAGTCTCTGATAATAATCTCGCTCACTTAAAAATATACAAATAACTTTTTTTCACAACAGTGACTGTTCAACCAAGTGCAGTTATTTGAAACGCTTGCCAACACAAACTCAGAGTTGCTCATCTCAGCCTTGCATTTGTCTTCTTAATGCCAAACTCAATTAAGGCTTATTTTCGCACAGCTGTGCAGATAAATAAGAAAATTAAATACAACTACATGTATCAACAACCACAATAAATTTCAGCAAACCTTTGAAACTCTTTCTACAGGTACTCTGTAGAGGTCAGTGTTTCACCAATCTGGGTTTGCACGTTAGTTTATATTGGTTTGTAGCACTGTTTGCAAATCAGCTTGCTTATGTCCTTTGGCTTGCCAAGTGTGCACACAATGGCTAAAGCCAACTTGTATTGTCTCAACCCTACAAAATACACCCAACGAAGCAGAATTCATCAGAAAGCTTATGAAGGTGGAACTGGACTTGAAGTGGACTTGAACTTGAACTGAAAATTTTAGCTGACGATTAATTGTCATGCAGATAACGATTTTATTGTCTGTTTTTCTCACTTCCACTATTTTATAAGGCCTGTATGCTTAACAATATTGTAATAATGTACACACACTATTATGATGAAGAATGTCTATTGAACAATACATTCATAAACGTATATAAAGATATTAGTCTCTTGTATGGTCTTTAAATTAAATTTGTATGCCTGTAAGCTTGAAAATAATAGTTGCAAATTCTCAAAATAAAAAATAAATAAATAAATAAATAAATAAATAAATTCACTATGGCCTAAACCTCCGTTCTTTGCTGGCTACTTACTGGGGTCACATTGTTGCCAGCTGTATTAAACATTCTCTTTTAATACAGAGCAATGCTGTTCTAATACATGCAGAATGTGGCTTGACATCATCTAGCTGAAATAATCAAGGCCTTTCTTGAAAAATACATAGTCTGGATGGTAGCATATGTTGCCAAAACATGTATATATTGTTCAGCATTAATGGGGCTTTTACAGATGTGCATGCCACCCATGCCATGTGCACTAATGCTCCCCTATACCATCATGAATACTGACTTTTATACTGTGCACTGATAACAAGCTGAGTGGTCTTTAGCTCAGAGGACACAGTGTCCATGCTTTCCAAAAAGAATTTCAAATGTTGATTTGTCAGACCACAGGACATTTTTCCGCATTCCTCTCAGTCCATTTTAAATAAGCTCAGGCCCAGAGAAGGTGGCAGCATTTCTGGATCCTGTTTATGACAGTTTCTTCTTTGCATTTTTGAGTTTTAACTTGCATTTGTGGATGCAGCGATAAACTGTTTTCACAGACAGTCGTTCTCAGATGTGTTTCTGAGTCCATGCAGTGATTTCCACTACAAATTCAGGTCTGTTTTTAATGCAGTGCTGCCTGAGGGCCCAAAGATCATGGCCAGCAAATACTGGTTTTAGGCCTTGTCCCTTGCATACAGAGATTTCTCCAAATTTTTGGAATCTTTTAATGTCATTATGTACCATATATGATGAAAAGCAAAAGTTCTTTGCTATTTTAACGTTGAGAAACGTTATTCCTGAATTGTTGCACTATTTGCTTGTGCAGTCTTTCACAGAGTGGTGAACCCCTCCTCATTATTTCTGACAGCCTCAGCCTCTCTGGGATGCTCCTTTTATACCCAATCATGTTACTAACCTGTTGTCAATCAATCACCAGGTATTTTTCTTTTTTTTTTTAATCATTACATAACTTTATGAGCCTTTTGTTGCCCAAATTTTTTGGAACATGTTGTTGGCATCAAATTCAAAATGGGCATATATTTTTCAAAAAACAATAAGATGTCTCAGTTTCAACATTTGATATGTTGTCTATTCTCAATGAAATATAGGATTTAAATGATTTGCACGTCATTGCATTTTGTTTTTATTTACATTTTGCACAGTGTCCCAACTTTTTTGGAAATGAGGTTGTATTTCTTGGTGGAATACTCGTTTATGTAGATTATTATTAATAATAATTTAAATTATTTTCTGAGAAATTGTGCATTTTATCATATTTCATGTTGGCCATAGTTTTATAGAACCAGTAAGCCACTTGAGGCTGTATGTCCCTGTGATTTTATTACAGGAGAGGAGTTTTAGAGAACTAAGAGCATCCTTCTTGAGATAAAATTGCAGTAATGCACTGCCTCTCATGGCTTATTGCTTTATTGTTATTATTATTAGTAGTAGTAGTAGTAGTAGTAGTAGTGGTTGTATTGTTCAGTGCTGTCAAGTTATTTCATAACGACCACATGGATTATGTTTTCTGTTTCTTCTTCTGTTTTGGTCTTCAGGTTTCTGAATGACTGATTAATTATTTCTCTAATTGTATCCATCCTTTTTTTACTGGTCGTTCTCTTCCTCTTTGACATTCAACACTTTAAAGCATAATGGTCTTTTTCAAATAATTCTTATTGCTGTCAAGATTTTTCGGACTCCTGGTGACCATATGGATTGTGTTTCTCCAGAATATCTTGTTTTCTGTTTTGGTCTTCAGGCTTCTGATTGTTTCTATTCATTCGGTTTTACCTTCAGCTCTTTCAGACATAATGGTCTTTTCCAATAAATTGTTTTTTTCTCAGAATATGTTCAAAATGAAAGTATTTATTAGTGTTTGGCATATTTACCATTAACTTCTGAGTAAGTACTGCTCTGCATACCAGATGTTAAATATTAGGTACTTACTGTACCATGAAATGAAGTGCTACCAATAATACAATGGTTTCTTATATGGTAAAATGTCTGATGTGCTTTTGCTAATAGTAGCTGTTTTTTATTTAACTAATTATAGCTACTGCAATGAGCTAAATACTAGCTTAACTAGCTTAATAGCTTAATGCTAATTAGCTAAATGGTTCCATAATAAATGATCAGGCTTCAACTAAGTTAAAAAAAGTGGGCATATATTTTTTTAACATAAAACAACTAATAAAAAAATATGCCAAAAGCATAAAATTACAGATTTTGACAAAAAAAAACAAAAAAAACATCCGTGTAAAATGTTGAAACATTTTAAACAAGGCAAAATATACAGGTTTCTGTGCTGATTTCTAGGTCACTATTCAAATGTAAGCACATTTGTGACAGTGAACATATCAAAATCTTTGTACAAAAAATTATAAATAAAAAAAATTTTTTTTTGTTTATTCCTTTTAATTAAGTGTTAAGATGATTCTCAAGTAGATTAGGTGTACTCAGCAGGAGCTTTTTCTCTTGTGGAATCATGGTAGAGTCATGTCATCCAAAGCGATCTCATGTAAAATGTGCCATTATAGGCACATTACGTGATGCCAGTTTTAAGGGTCATATGCTTTATATGAAGCCATTTTAATAGTGAAATTGCAGCTCAGTTAACTGGCCCTTTATTCATAAGTTGCTTTTTAGTGTTCATTTCTGGTTTAAGTATGATTATGTAACACTTTGGAAGAAAGATACAGAATAACAAACCAAAGCTTGAGGCCAAAATAGCAAATATTTCCACAGCTACAGTGAACTTTCCAGGAGAGCTGACATAAGCTGGGATGAAGGTGATCCAAACTGCACAGAATATGAGCATGCTGAATGTGATGAACTTGGCTTCGTTAAACTTATCAGGCAGTTTCCGAGCCAAAAAAGCTAAAATAAAACACAGTAGAGCCAACAGTCCTATATAACTTAGAACAGCCCAGAAACCTATAGCTGAACCTAACTGACATTCTAGAATGATCTTTTCCTTGTAGTGCTTTAGATTTTTGAAGGGGAAAGGAGGGGATGTTGTTAACCAAAGTACACATATTAGGACCTGTATGAGAGTGAAGGCAAGAACACTGAGTCTCTGCTGTGGAGGCCCAAACCATTTCATGACATTACTGCCTGGAAGTGTAGCTCTGAAGGCCATTAACACCACTATTGTTTTCCCCAGAACACAGGAGATGCAGAGGACGAAGGTGATTCCAAACGCTGTGTGACGCAGCACACAGGACCACTCAGAGGGCCGACCAATGAAAGTAAGTGAACAGAGGAAACACAGAGCCAGAGAGAAGAGTAATAAGAAACTCAGCTCTGAATTGTTGGCTTTTACTATTGGGGTATTTTTGTGTCTGAAGAATGTAATTGCTATTATTATTGTCATAAAGGCACCAATAATTGAAACAGCTGTTAGCAAAATTCCCATCGTTTCCTCATATGACAAGAATTCAATTTCCTTCTTTACACATTCAGTCCTGTGTGTATTTGACCAGTAGTCCTGGTAGCATTGTTCACATTTAATCGAGTCTGTAGAGAGAGATAAATAACATGGAAAAAAAAAAAAATTAGAGGCACAGGCAAAGTAGTTGAAGGAATGTATTAAATATAACATTGCCCTTGTCTTCTGACATCAAAAACACCAAAAAAAATCTATTTTAAACTAATCACAAATATTCTAAAGTGAGTTACAGTAGTAATACCATTAATCCTTTTTTGCAAATATTTGTACCTGTCATATTACTGATCTCTCCTTCAGCACATGGTATACAGTCAAAGCAGCAGATAGGCTTTCCTTTCTGCACAGCCTTCCTGGTGCCTGAAGGGCAGCTCTCACTGCACACAGACACCGGCACCTATGATCAAAATAAATGTTCGATGACCTAAAAAATACATTTATTTTTTTAGATATTATGCAAACCTTATATGAAGTATGCATGCTTTGTTGAGACCAAAGTACAGTTTTATCCTAATACCTTATTTGTATTTTGTGCCCACACAATAGAGGCCATTTTTACTGATAATCGATTGTGAGCAGGGGAAGAAGAGTCATAAAGTCCTACAGTGACAAACTCATGGTGATCCTCAGTAGTTTGCAAATTTATTATTTCATATTTAGCTGCAGGGTCACCATTTTTGTCAAAATAAACTTCTTCCCCTTCTTTAGTTTTGAAGCGCACTCTTTTCAGATGTTCTAGAAACTGGAAGACATTGAATAAAGTGTAGATTACAAAAGATTAATGCATACTACTCTAGAATACTTTTTGGTTGCTAAAGCTGTGAAACTTGAAGTTAAAGATCTGTGCTTAAACAGACAAACTTACAGTGAGAGGATCAGGCTGCTTTTTTGTTAGACATGTCTGTGTGCAGCCAAGAAGGTCATGTAGAGTGTGGGCAACAGCATAAACTGCTTTATACACGTTACTGAAAATAGGCATCTGGGTCATGTCTGTGAATTCATTTTCTGTTTCAGACAGTTTCTCCTGTCCTGTACACACTGTAGTGTCTTCTGAGTCATTCTGCACTGTATATTTGCACTGAAACAAAGTCTCCCATAATTCAGTAAAAATGGCACTGCCTGCAGATTTCAGTGGATTTATATCCAAAATGAAGTCCTTCAGACCTGTCACTGTTGTTTTGGGTATTGCTAGCCCTATGGCTCCTTGCAGTATGTTGTGCTTATCCAGCCTGGCTACAGCTGAATCAGTGATCCAAGATTCAGTTCCAACCCACTGGTATCCAGTAATGTTGTGCTCATGAAATACATCCAGCAAAATCTCAAAGTCCCAATGAGTGACATATGCCACAATCACTCGAGAAGTAGAGCTTTTGATCTGCTCGATTATTCTTAGCACTTTTTCTTTTGAGTAAGTTCTGAAAAATGGAAGGGAATATTCTAAGCATATGCCCAGCTGCTCTGCAGCTTCAGTGAATCCAGCCATTCCACTGTTACCGTAATCATCATCTCTTCTTATTGCACCCACCCATGTCCAGCCTAACTGTTTGACCATCTCTGCCAGTGCTCTGCTCTGGTAGTAATCACTGGCAATAGTGCGCAGAAATGAGGGATATTTCCTCTTGTCACTGAGACACTCGCAGGTGGAATAAGGACTGATCTAAAAACAGAGTCACACAGATATGTCACTGATTATATGCAATCATATTTTTTCTTTTTATCCCAGTTATTAACTACATTTAACATAGAAGGTCAGATCTTGCATGATTTTACTTGATTTTAATAGTTATGGTGTTTCTATAGTTGCAACATTGATAAAAATTGCATTTATGCTTACTACTGGAAAGCTTAAAGGCCCGACACTCTTTGCAATAGCCATTGATGCTGATGATTGTATATCACCAATTATGGCTTGCACCTGTGCTGGCTTTGTGCATTGTTCATTCAAGGTTGAATTCTCATTTCCATTAACAAGTGCCATAGCCATTCTAACCCCCATAGTCGTGGAACCACATGTGTCATAAATCTTGTATCCCAGTGAGACACCAGGGAGTAAAGAGGAGCTGTTGTTGATTTCTTCTACTGCAAACATCAAGGACTGTGAAAACTGGAACTCTCTGAAATCAAGACTTGGTTAGGAAAACAGCAGATGTACAAAGACATTTTAGGGATGGCACATAACAGTTTCATTGCTACTGTGTAATGTAATTGTTTAAAATAATACATATTGATTCAATGTATGACAATCTCACTTTATCTTGCTACATACCTCACACAATTCATTGGTGATGGCTTGACCTTATAGGACACATCTGTGATTTCCCAAGTCCTGTGAATGGGAAAAATCCCTCCAACTATGATATCACCATTCTTAGAAAGTGGTGGGTATACAGGCTCTCCATGCAGGCTACAGAAATTCCCATTTGTGCTGGAAAAATTGATGATGGCCATCACCACATGCAAGAGAGTAAAGATAGACTCCATCCACCTATTTAACTGTTCAGTTGAGTTAATGATTCAGTATGTAGAAGGTCTGCTGTTTCAAATTACACAGGAAGGGTTTGTAGTATTTATACAGATAGAAATTCTCTACGGTAATTTTACACTGCTTGGCCACAGTCAAAGGAGGTGTGACTTTCATGTGTGAGCAGCACTAATCTGAATGCACTAGGCCTCAATATCTCTGTTGCCTGTTTTTTTTTGTATTGGGTTTGGTTCTTTCTTTTTTTGTGCATATTTCTTAAAAAAAACGTGCCATTTTGCTTTTTTCTGTGTAATTTTATATTATTTTATTTCTATTTATTATTTTGTCATTCTGTTTTGGTTAAATATCCAAATGTCTAACCAGTCCTTCTTAATGTAAAATAAATAAATAGGCAAATGACTAAAATGCATTGCACTGTTGCTTAAAACTGAAAATCAGTTGAGGGTATATAGTGGAAATGAAAATCAGTTGTTATTATTCCATGGAGCTTGTGCTGGCTTTCTCATTTAGCTATGTGCGTTCATCTCCTGACAACTCCAGTATGTGGCCAGTTTTATGCTTTGGTTACTTCTACTGCTGATCCGTTTTGTTGAACACACACTTACCAGACCCTGTCCTGTCCAGTGAGCCTGTGCCTGTCAACAGGTTGTTGAGAAATGACCACTGTATTATTTATAACAGCACCATGTATAGTGCTGTGAGAAAAAAGTATTTTACCCTCACCCAGTTTCTTCTGTTTTTGCTAATTTGTCATGTTTAAATTGCCCCCCCCCCAAATGGTCACGATAACTTGTGATGAATCTTTTACACCACTGTGGAGGAATTTTGGCCCACTCTTTTTTTATTTTTTGTAATTTGGCTACACTGGAGAGTTTTTGAGCATGAACTGCTCATTAAAGATCTTGCCACATTATCTCAGTGGGGTATGAAAGTCTGGACTTTCGCTCATCCACTTCAAAACCTTCATTTTGTTATTTTTGAGCCATTCAGAGGTGAACCAGCTTTTGTTATGTTGTGTCCTTTATGGGTTCTGTGAGAGAAATTTGTCATTTTACTGCCTACTTTTGCCCAATCTGAGAGCAGAGCAGTGCTGCCTGGGGTAGTGGGGGGTTAAGTGCCTTGCCCAAGGGCACAACCAGGTATGCCTAGTCAAGCATGGGATTTGATCCCACAACCTTCCAGTTGATGGCTCACTTCACCTACCACTAGGCTACCAGCCACCTTCAGATCATTGTCTTGCTGCTTATCTCAGCTGCGTTTGAGCTTTAGGTCATGAACCGACAGGCAGACATTCTTCTTCAGGATTTTCTGATAGAGAGCAGAATTCCTGGTTCCATCAATTATGATGTTTTCCAGGTTCTGCAGAAGCAAAGCAGCCCCAGACCATCACACTACCACCTAACATCTAGATTGCGCCTTGCAAGTCTCCCATGAATGTCATTTTCGCCCAGTGTGTATCTTATTGTGGAATCATGTACACTGACCTTAACTGAGACAAGTGAGACCTACAATTCTTTAGATGTTCATATAGGCTCTTTTGTGACCTCCTGGATGTGTCATCGATGCGTTCTTGGCAAAATTTTGGTAGGCCCTCCACTCCTGGGAAGGTTCACCACTGTTCCGTATTTTCTCCATTTGTGGATAATGGCTCTCACTGTGGTTCACTGGAGTCCCGGGGCCTTAGCAATGGCTTTGTAACCTTGGTAGATTTCAATGACTTTGGCCCACATTTATATTCAAATCTCTTTAGAATGTGGCATCATGTGCTGTTTTTTGAAACATTCTAACCTGCTTCACTTTGCCAGACAGGTTCTATAAGTGATGTTTAGATTCATTGCGTCTAGCAGTAATCATGCCTGGGTATGGCTAGGGAAATTAAACCTAATAGTCAATTGAATTTGGTTAACTGTTTGATTTAGTAGCTAAGAGGCAATTAGGGGCAGGTAGGGCTGAACAGCATTTTTCCCCAATAAATGAAATCCTCGTTTAAAAACAGCAATTTATGTTTTCTTGGGTTATCTTTGTCTTATATTAAAAGTAATTTGATGATCTGAAGCATTCAAGTGTGACAAATATGAATCAGGAAGGGGGCAAATACCTTTTTTACAGCACTGTATGTTTTTTTGTTCAAATTGAAAAAGTAGCATTACTGAGGGGATAAAAACACACTATAATCTGGTGTCTGTTCACTGCAGCGAGTCACCCTGTAAGGCCTGAAATAGTCAGAGTCAGAGGTGCTATGTCGGACTTTGCATGAGTTCTTTGGACTTTGTTATACATTTTTACATATTAACTTCACGTACACTGGTTCAGAAAGGAGCTCAATGTTTTGCTCAACATCAACATTACAATGTTAAAGATGTGATGACATTAGTAGAATTCACTTAAATTGTCGGATGACATATTCTTCACCACACACAGTTCCACCAGAGAGTTCTCTAAATCAACAAATTTTACATTTTACAGTGCAGCGTTTCAAATGGCCACATCAGACACTAGCTTTGGTACTTGCTTTTGTTTCTTTCTTGGACCCTTTGCTCTAGTGTTGTCACAATACTGAAATTTTCAACTTCAAGTCTTTGAAAAGTACCATTGCTGTGTAACAAAGAAGGAAGGGGCATCAGAGAACTGATGGTCTTTATGTTTGTTTGTTGTATCTTAAGAATTTTTTAACCAAACATGTAATAAATTAACATGATTTTTCTTGTGAATCACATTTGTTACTTTAAAATCTCACTCTGAGACTGTGACATTCAAAATTCAGTTAAATAAATGTTCAAATGTCAAATGTTTTAGAAACATTAATTTTCATATTTGATCGGATTAAGAAAAAAAATCCAAAATATACATATTATTCTACAAGCCCATTTCCAAAAAAAGTTGGGACGCTGTATAAAATGTAAATAAAAACAAAATTCAATGATGTGCAAATCATTTGAACCCTAGATTTCATTGAAAATAGCAAAAGACAACTAATCAAATGTTCAAACTGAGACTATGTATTTTTTTTTTTAAATATATGCCCATTTTGAATTTGATGCCAACATCACATTCCAAAAAAGTTGGGACGGGGGCATGTTTACCACTGTATTTCATCGCCTCCTCTTTTAAAAACACTCTGTAAACTTTTGGGAGCTGAGGAGACAAGCTGCTGTAGTTTTGAAAGTAATATGTTTTGTGATATTTGCTTAACATAGGATTTCAGCTGCTCAACAGTTCAGTCTCTTTTGTCGTATTTTTCATTTTATAATGTGCCAAATGTTTTCAGTGGGTGACAGACCTGGACTGCAGGCAGGCCAGTTTAGCGCCCGGACACATTTAATACAGAGTCATGCTGTTGTAGTACATGCAGAATGTGGTTTGACATTGTTCTGCTGAAATAAGCAATGCCTTCTATGAAAAAGACGTCGTCTGAATGGCAGCATATGTTGCCAAAACATGTATATATCATGACGATGACTCAGAGGTGCAGTGACAGGCCTGTAGACCGATACACCAGCACTACTGGCTGTTCAGCAGCCTGATGGCCCAGGGGAAGAAACTGTCTTGGAACCAGCTGGTTCTGGACTTTATGCTTCTGTACCTCCTCCCGCTTGACAGCTGTGAGAACAGATGATGGTTTGGGTGGATGGAGTCCATCCGCACCACTGTCTGCACCTTCATCAGGCTTTCCGCATGATGGCAGTGCAGTTCCCATACCAGGTGAGCCTGTTAAAATGCTCTCCACAGTACATGTGTAAAATGTTCTGAGGATGCGGGGGGTTCAAGCCAAACCTCCTCAGCTGCCTGAGGTAGAAGAGGTGCTGTTGTGCCTTGCTCATCACCCGTGTGGTGTGTTAGGTCCATGTCAGCTCCTCTTAGATGTGAACACCAAGGAACTTGAAGCTGTTGACCCTCTCTCCAGTGGCTCCATTGATGGTGATGGGGGTGTGCTCTCTCTCTTGCTTCCTGAAGTCCACTATAAGCTCCTTGGTCTTGTTGACATTGAGAGAGAGGTTATTCTTCTCAAAGCACTTGCTTATGATGGCGGTCAGAGCAACTGGGTGCCAGTCATTTAGAGTATTTACCCTGGCTGACTTTGGAACTGGCACAATGGTGGCCCATTTGAAGCATGCAGGAACAACTGAGAGTGAGAGAGAGCGGTTAAAAATGTCTGTAAACACTCCTGCCAGCTGATGTGCACAAGCTTTGAGAGCACATGCAAGTATGCTGTCAGGCCTGGCTGCCTTGCAGATGTTAACATTCTTAAAGGCTCTACACACGTCAGCCACAGAGACGGAGGCGGGGGGGGTTGACTCAGCGGGAGCGGGGGCAGGGACGTGCGGCGTGATTTGCCTCAAAACAAGCATAGGGAAGTGTTTAGCTCGTTTGGAAGCACAGCCCTGATGTTATTCACAGTCCGTTGTTGTGTTTAACCCCTCCCACGGGCTTCTTGTGTTGGTGGTGTTGAACTGAGATTCCACTTTAGCCCTATACTCACGTTAGGCTGCTCTTATGGTCTTACGGAGAGCATAGCTGGCTTTTTTTATACTTAGCCGTGTTTCCTTACTTAAAAGCAGCGGTACGTGCATTCAGAGCTGCAGGGCTTCACAGTTGAGCCATGGTTTCTGATTGAAGTAAACACAAACTGTTTTTGTGGGCACAACATCCTTTGTACACTTTTTGATGAACCCTGGAACTGAGTTTGCATATTCATCAATGTTATTGTTTGACACCTCGTGGAACATCTCCCAGTCTGCAAATCTTCAAAACAGTCCTGGAGCGCATTATCCAAGTGGTCCGACCAGTGGTGGACCTCTCTGATAATGGGTTGTGCCCTTTTCAGCTTCTGCCCATAGGTGGGCAGGAGCAGAATGGAGAGAAGATCCGATTTGCCAAATGGAGGTTGGGGCAGGGCTTTGTACGCCTGACGGAAGGAGGAGTAGCAGCGATCCAGCATGCATGATTTTCGTGTGCTGCATGAGATGTGTTGGAAGTACTTTGGAGCGACTTCCCTAAA